CTACTTCACAACCATCTCTATTTGGCCAGTCCATTGGGGAGGCCCAGGAACCTTACCTTCAGTGTAACTGAGGAGGAATGGTACAGGGTGAGGGGTACTGGAGGGAGCAGCACCCCTTCCCTCATGAGCTTTGGACGTTTCTCTGCTGGGGGTGGTATTAATGTCATTATATTCTCCTTCCCCACATTCTTGGATCTGGAACACAAATGAAGGGAGAGGCTTGGATGCATTCCTTTCAGGGACAGCAGTAAGAAATTGGTTCCCAGTTTCCACCTTGTAGGTTGAATGGTACCGTTGACCTCCTCCTCTTCACTCCAACCCCCAAATAACCTGCCATGTTTTTTGTTACCAGTCCGTTGTTAGAGATTCCAGGCCACACGTTATGCCATTTCTGGTGGCACGTTTAAAATACCCGTCCAGAGTAGAAAGTTTTCTAATGAGGTATGGGATGAAGTGCCTCCGTAATGAAAGTCCCAAATTTGCCTTGAAGGAATCTTGGGAAGCTTAATTATGTATTACCAGGCCCTTCCTTTGGAGAGTGATTCTGTTGCTCCGAGGTAGAACCTGGAAATCTGAATGAAAAATTTCTCAACTATGGGAAACAGTTCTGAATAGTATATCTCTATGAGGAGTTTCTGGCTTGTTCTCGAAATCCCATCTCAGCTTTACTATGTGCTACTGTCAAGTAGCAACATCTAGCGAGTAGAACTGGAGGTAGAATTAATTTCGCTGTCCGCTTCCTCGGGAATCCCGCTCCTAGTCTATGCTCCTGTTTGCTGTGCTGCCCCCCAGTGGCCATCTGAAAAACTAGAGACTCAGATACCTGCGCAAAGGCATATTGGCTGAGTCTACTGAATGTGGAGGTCAAGACTCTCCGTGTGGTGACCAGGTTTTCAAACAACTCATCTAAGAAGTGTGTGAACATGGTAAAAAGTCCCAGCTAGGTGCCATGAGCCTAAGAGGCAAAAAGCCTCCTCTAAATTGGCTCTCACTTTGAGATACTTGGAGTGGCTCTTTGTTGGGACACCAGCATGATGTAGTTGCATTGTAAAGGCACAGGGGCAGCACGGGGAAGACACGAGCAGTAAGAGGCTGAGGCAAGAGGACCAGTCGTTTATTGAGGGTGTAGATAAGAAAACCATGGGGAATGAACTAGCTCAGCCTTTGAGGTATCCCCGGTGTTGTAGAACTGCATCCCCTATAGATATCTGAGCAGTCACAGAAGGCAAGGGGATTCCTGGGCCCTGCAAGAACTTCCCACCCCATAGCTGCAAGATCCAGTCAAGAAAGAATGGTAACAGTTTCAGGGATTTTGTTTTGTTTTTAATTTTATTTTAGAGAAAGAGAGTGAGAGCACAAGCAGGGGAAATGGGAGAGAGGGAGAGAGGGAGAATCCCAAGCAGGCTTCATGCGCAGCATGGAGCCTGATGTGGGGCTTGATCCCACAACACTGCGATCGTGACCAGAGCTAAAATCAAGAGTGGGACGCTCGACCGACTGAGCCACCCAGGCGTCCCTCAGGGGTTGTTTTGCTCCTAAGCTCAGGAATTGTATGAAAGCTTAGTAAATAGCCAAGTATTTAAACCATAAATCTGAGGGGGGGGGGCAATGGATTACTGAGAAGCCCAAATGCAATAAATTCATCAAATCAGGCAGAGACTAAGTTATGAACAGGAACAATGGCTTTTGATGCCTGACTCTATGGAGGGCTCCAGTTGGATTTCAACCACGGAAGTGTGTGTGAAGGTAAGAGTAATGTGACTGGGGTCAAATCTCAACTATTTCCGGGGCAGCTTCTCGGAGACCCAGAAGAGGAATTCTGATCTTATGTCTGTTGTCTGAAGGCAAACCAGGGAGCTACTTTTGGTTAGTCACATTAAATTCCCTGTAAATAGCAGGCCTGGCCATCAACTCAGCAAATGGGAGTTTGCCTTCTCTGCTTTATACTCCCTGTTCCAGCAAGGATGGGAGAAAGGATATTCCTCTTCCTTCAGTGGAAATGAATTCTGGAGAGAAGAGCAGAAGCCATGTGCTGGAATAGCTGTGGGTGTGGGTGTGGGTGTGGTGTGTGTGTGTGTGTGTGTGTGTGTGTGGTGTGTGAGTGTGAGTGAGAGAGAGAGGCCAGGTTCAGAGACAGTCCTGGGCCTTTCAGCTGCATGATGGGAAAATGAACCTTCTACCCACCCCAAGATAGGATAAGCCAAGGTTATCCAAAAGAGTAAGCTGGCGCTGGGGGTAAGAGTAGCTAGAGATGAGTGCAACAGAAGTATTATAAAGGGAAATGGGTGTTACATATTTCCTGTTGTGATTAGTTTTGGCACTGGTCTCAAACATCCCACTGAGGTCTCTGGATTTTTCTTCCCTGTAGTCTGCAGAGACTTGTCTGGACAAATGAGAAATGAGGTAGAGGACCAGATAGCATGGTAAGTGGTAACTGAAAGCAGATAGGAATAGATCCTTCTGAGGTGTAATGGTGCCTCCCCAGGACAGGAACCATAGAAGCCTTGAACCCATCACCTTTCTGTTCCTGAAACTTGTAACTCCTCCCATGTCAATACAGCACAGTAGACCCTCCCCATAGAGACGGAGCCCTAGGTGTGCCAGAAGTTGGTAGTTAAACCTTTTGTTGTTCAGATCAATGTTACCCACTAACACAATGATGTCATCACTTCTTTATGACCATACATCTTGTCCCCACTTATGTGTCTCCTTTAAAGAATTGATGTCTGCCACACCATGTTGCAGAGAGTTGAAACATTTAGTAGAGGTTTACAGAGAATAAAGTTCTTGCCCTTCTATTCTGCTAGTCTTAACCAGCCTTCCTGTTGTTTCCCTCAATCCCTTTTTCAAATAAAACATGGCATAACACTCACTTGTGACGTCCTAGACAGCCACCATAATAGTCAAATCATGTATGTAGCTAGGAATTTAGACTTCAAAAGCTCCCCTGGCCAGCTGTGTCACATAACAGGAGCTGAAACTGCATAAGAAAATGTTTAGAAAGGAAAGATACTTGCCTTTAAAAGGTTAGAACTTAATAAAGGCAAAATAAAAAGAACCAAAGGAACCAGGTCCCGTAAAGGGGGCTGCTATAGCCACAAACTAAGTGGCCTACCATCTCTGCACAGGTGCAGTCTCAATATACTGTTTTGATTAAGGAAGGCCTTCTAGAGGAGCAGATTTAAGTATTCAAAGCCTCTTGGACTTTGTGTTACAGATATTAGATATTAGATGAAGGCAGACAAAACAAGAAATAAAACAGGGTTTGGTAATTTGGGGAAACTTCATGTTTTTCCCTTTTTTTTTTAAGGTTTTTTTTTTTTTTTGAGAGACAGTGCGTGAGTGGGAGAGGGGCAGAGAGAGAATCTCAAGCAGGCTTTGAGTTGTCAGTGTAGAGCCCGATGTGGGGCTTGAACCCATGAACCATGAGATCATGACCTGAGCGGAAGTCAAGAGCAGGATGCTTAACCAACCAAGCCACACAGGTGCCCCTTGTCTTCCCCTTGTTTGTCCACAGATAATCTAGACTGGTGCTACTCTACTGTTATGAATAGGCCTAAGAGGTTGAGTTGTAGGTTTAGTGATAGGAGAGTAAATGTTCACTATTTGGTCCTCCAAAGTACGGGAGCTCAGACCAGAAATCAATTCCGATGATTGCAAATGAGAGTCAGATACTCCACCCCTCCTCTACTTCCAATGCCGGGGAGTCTCAGAAGCAGAAGTGGAGAATGGCCCATGAGAAGGTTGTCCTGGCTCAACCTCTCAACGCTTCCAACAGATAACTTTGAGAAGAATCCCTAGGTAGCTAGGTGAGGAGTGGGCAAAAGTGTATTGTGTGAGGGGCACCTCGGTGGCTCAGCTGGTTAGGTATCCGACTTCAGCTCAGGTCATGATCTCACAGTTTGTGGGTTTGAGCCCCACATCGGGCCCTGTGCTGACAGCTCAGAGCCTGGAGCCTGCTTCGGATTCTGTGTCTCCCTCTCTCTGCCCCTTCCCCGCTTGGACTCTGTCTCTCAAAAATAAATAAACATTTTTAAAAATGTATTGTGTGTGGGGCGCCTGGGTGGCTTAGTCGGTTAAGCGTCCGACTTTCGCTTAGGTCATGATCTCGCGGTTCGTGGGTTCGAGCCCCGCGTCGGGCTCTGTGCAGACTGCCAGCTCAGAGCCTGGAGCCTATTTCAGAGTCTGTGACTCCCTCTCTCTCTGACCCTCCCCTACTCACGCTGTGTCTCTCTCTCCTAGAAATAAATAAAATATTTTTTTAAAAAAATGTATTGTGTGATGCCTTGGCGGTGGGCTTACCTGGCAGGCACAGTTGCTGTAAGTAGTACGAGCCCGGGTTGATGAGCGGTATCCTCCCCATTGTAAGGTAGGTAAGTAGGCCAACATCACCCTGAGTGAGGAGGAGGAAATTGGTTCCCCTGACTCTCCCCACGCTCCATACAGTACCTTCACCTCTCCCAATCTCCAAAGCCCAACTCAGATACCTCCTCCCTGCTCTGTTCCCCCAGATTTGTGCAGAAACCGGCTTAATTGCTTCCCGGAGAAGCCTCTGACGTCCCTGTTGGCCTCGCGTGCGAGGGTGGTGAGAGATCACACAGAGCCTTCTGTCCAACTGCTACTCTTCGCCTTAGGTGCTGCCCTGGGCCTGGGAGCACGGCCACGCCCCGTCAGGCTCCGCCCACAGTTCTTGGGGCTCCGGGAGCGGTAGGGGGCCACCAGAGTGAGGTGGTGGGGTGCTTCGGTGGTGGGGTGGGGGTAGGAATGGCCAGGGCCCGGAGGGAAAGTTGAAGGACTCACGGAGGGTGGTCCTTTATGGGTAAAGCACGTGCTGCAGAGTAATCTAATCACTGACAGGGACAGAAAGTGCCTTCTCTGTAGTGCTGTTACCCTCGCGGAGAAGGAAATACCAAAGATCGCCAGGCATGTCTTGGACAGGCTGATTTATTAGAGCGTAAGTTACAGTAGGGCTCCCACACAGAGGCACCAGAGCGTGGTGCTCAGCTTCCCTCGTTCCCCTCCGCCGCCACAGCCTCCTGGCTCTCCCCACGGTGCTCCTGACGAGTGAACTCCTCGATGACTATGTCCTCAGAGCTTGCAAAGCAGCAGAATGGAATGGAGGGTTAGGAACAACTTTCTGGGCATCGTCCACGTTCACTCCCATTTCGTGATCCCTTTCCTGCTTCCCAGCTCATCCTCAGCCCTCTCCGTAGCTAACCCCCCAGCCGATCGACCACTCTGGCTGGTTTCTCTCCGTTCCCTCCCGGACATCTCAAACACAAAAGTCCCTTCCCACCCACCCTCTAGAGCGCTGGAGGGGAAATAAGAATGGAGGGTGGGAAGGAAGGAAGGAAGCGAAGAAGTAAGGGCGAGGGGGCGGGGGAGGAAAAAGAAAAAAGGAAGGGACGGCGGGGGGGGGGGGGAGGACGATTCTGAGAACAAGGGATGGAGGGCGTATGAAAAGCGCTGAACTATGACGGGAAGCTAAGCCATATGTTTCCACTGCACAGTATTGAAAGCAACACTCCAGGGAAGCTTTTTAACAATTACATCGTTATAAAATGGAGGGTTGCAATGGGGAAAGGGGGATGGGGCTTCCAGTCCTCACGTTTCCTTACCTAGCAGCCTCTGTAACAAGCATGGAGAGGGGAGGGGAAAATGGAGCTGAAGCTGATGTGGGGCTCTTCAGCTGAATGAAGAAATCTCTTTCCCCTCCCATTTTAACCCTCTTCTCCCTACCCCCCAACACACACACACGCACACACGCACACACACACACACACACACCCTGAAAACCAAGAAAACCAACCTGCCTATTGCTAGTCTCTACCCAAGCTGTCAGTCCTTGATTCAAGAGATCAGAACTGCTTGGTCCCCAACACTCAGGACCACCACTCCTATGAGTCCCACCTGGTCACTCACCATGTGATGGCTCTGGGTGCATCAGGATCAGGGGCAGCTCCACACCAACATCACTGTGAGGATTCCAAGGGAGAGTTACTGATCTCCCTCAGTTTTCTGGGCCTGGGATATCCTCAGACCCTTCCTTAGCACTCTTTTAGTCTCCCATTCTCCCCACAGCTTCCCCACAGTATCTCTTACCTGGTGATCAGGTCGCCTAGGATGCTGAGGGTAGAATGACATCCTAAAATTAGCTTCTGGAAATGGAACGTGGCAACCTAGTTTTACTGGGGGATAAGGGATCAGAAGGCCAATCCAGCCACAGAATGGGCTTCCTCCAGAAGGGAGGGTGGCTTGCTCACTGAGCTCACAGGTTTGGGAAACTGGTCTGGGGAACAGCTTGATTGGGTCAGTCCACCTGGGAGGAAAACAAAAGTGGCTCCCCAGCCCTGCCCATACAGACCCCGACCCCTCACTCACCCTCCACCAGACACCATCAGGTTGACTCTCACTTTGTAGGACACCAGGATCCCCAGCAGCTCCTTGTTCATTCCAGGCTGAAGACTGGAGGTGGTAGTAGTCGTCGTTGTGTGTTAGTTAAGGGGGGAGTAATTCATTCAGTCTCTCAGTCCCTTCCTGTGCACCTTTTTGTTGTTGTTGTTGACTTTCTTATATTCTTTTTTTTTCAAATACTTTATTGTCAAGTTGGTTTCCATATAACACCCAGTGCTCATCCCCACAAGTGTCCTCCTCCACGCCCATCAGCCCCCTTCCCCCCACATCCATCAGTCCTCACTTTGTTTCTCAGTATTCAAGAGTCTCTCATGGTTTGCCTCTCTCCCTTTCCCCCACCATTTCCCCCCTTCTTCTCCCCCATGGTCCTCAGTTATCCTGAGGTCCTCCTCATCCTCCTATATGCCTGTGCACCTTTTCTAACAAGCCTCCCATGCTCTAATCTCTCCTCATTGAAATCACACGTCTGCTCCTAACATCCAGTTTTACCAGGTCACCCTCTGCTTAAGAGCCTACCCTCTCTGAATATAACTACTCTCTGCTTGGCTTTGACGACCCTTAACAAACTGGCCCCACTCAGCCTCTTTAACCTTTTCTGCCCTAACTCCCTAACACCTGGGATACAACCTAAGCAGACCCATCCTCTCTCCATGCTCAGAATATGCCATGCAGATTCCCACCTTTCTGGCCTTTGCCCATGCTGTGCTCCCAATCTGGAATGCTCTTTCCTTCCTCTCTTGCTATCTAGATCCTACACATGCCTCAATATCTAGCTCATTCAGTCTTCTCCAGGAAGCCCGCTCCAGCTATGCTGGCTTCTTTCAACTTCTGTTGAATTTCTAATCTGAACCACGTGTACTATCACTTAACCTTTCGACTGCTTTTGCATTCCTCTTTGTTCCCCATCTAGACCATAAGAGTGTCTAAAACTTCTTTATGTCCTCCCACATTGCCTAGCATAAGAATGAGCATGTAACAGGTACTCAATGAAAACTCACTGATTGGAAAATGTGACACAGAAAACTATGATATTGGGAAAGTCTCTTCATGGCTCTGGAATACTGATCCTTTTATCTATAAAATAATGCTGTTTGGGCGATTTCTAAGGGTCGTTCTAGCAATGACAATTTATAGCTACAAGATTGATAAGGCATGGAGAGGGGCAGGGGACAATGAACACTTGTCAGATGGTGGCAGATGGCTTTTGGTGGGAGACACATCTAACACTACAGCCTTCAAAGGTATAGGGCCAAATGAATGATTGGATAGAATTCTATCAGTTCCCTCTTTGGCCCTTCTCCTTCTTTGGCCCTTCTCCTTCTTTGGCCCTTTTCCTCCTCCATTTCTCGACTCCTCGTCTTCTCACTCCATTTCTGTCTTCGCTAGAGAGTAGCTACTCTAGAGATCACAGTGCTAGAGCCAGATGACATGCGGTAGAATCCTTTCCACCTCTGCCATTTATTAGCTGTGCAAATTTGGACAACTCCTTTCATCTCTCTGAGCCTCAGGGTCCTTAAGTGTGAAATGGAATAAGAACACGTATCCAGCCTGCTTTAATGGGATTATTGATATACTATATCAAGAATATAAGACTTTTGTGAGCTGTGAAATATTAGACAACGCAAGGAATTTTCCTCTCCACTTTTGCCTTTCTTACTGTCTGTGACCTAAGCCTGGCATTGGTCCCATCAGCATGATTTAGCTTACTCTTGACCCTCAGGCCTGCAGAGATCTCTGAACACTGGCCTAGGACCACTTAAAAAGAAATAGGTGGGCTTCATTGCAGATGAAACCTCAGAACTGTATACATGAAATGCAGAATGGGTTGCAGATAGAAAATGGAGGCTGGGGATTACATTTGAGCTTACATCGTGCTAGAGGCCAGATTAGTATCACCATGCTTGAGTTTGCCATCCAGTGCCACGCCCTCTTTCTGGCAGTTGGCAGCCAGGAGCGGGGTTACTGCGAAGCTCTTAGAGAAGTTGGAGTTAGCAGCTATAGTCTCCCTTTAAAAGGAGAAGAAGAAAAGAACTTAGGCTAGGCTTGCCAATTACATGTACTTTCATTCCCAAGGGTATCTTTCACAGTTCCACAAATCTACTGGAGTATCCAGGAGAGCTGGCCTGTCTGACTGTGGGGAGTGGGAACAATTCGCTCTGGTGGGAAATCCTTATGCCCTTGACCTCTCTCAGCATTTTGATGATCCTGTTATGGGTATCCTCCCTCTAGTTCTCCTGGAAATCCCTCCCTTCCTCTACATCAGCCCTCACGTTGACCTTCCTCAGCCCTGGGCTCTTACCCTCCTCCTTCTTTCCCCAACCTGCTTCTTTGCCTCCAGTCCCTGACCCTTTTCCCACCAACCCACCCCATGGCTCTCTGACTCCAGCCCCAGCTCACGTGAACTCCTGAATGAACACGGTCTTGGTGTACTTGTCTAGGGAATACAGGACAACATCTGTGATCTGGTCGACTGAACAGCCAGGAAAAGCACATGAGGATAATCAGTTAGTCATCCACAAGGTCCCAGCTCACCACCCTCAGATGTGACCTTATACGTGGGTACACTATGCATGATGTACTAAGATACGCTGGTGGACAAAGCTATGTATTTTGATAAGCCTGCATTAAAGGGAAAGTCTAGATGAATACAGTCTGGGTAGGTGAGGCAGGATTTTGGAAAAAGAAGGATAGGAAAAGAAATTCACCTGAAATCTTGATTTTTTTGATGACCTTGTTGGTGCGGTTGTTGATAGAAACATTGACAGAGATGGGTTTGCCATGGTAGTGAACCTGGAGCAGGAGGAGAGGCTCATTGCAAGGTTGGAGGGAGAACACCCAGATCGAGACCTAGAATTCCTGTTTCCTTAGCACTGTTGCTGCCCTGGCTTCCATTCCTGTCTCCCCAGGTAGGAAATCGGTGAAGAATCAGGGTTTCAGAGGGCTGCAGGGTAGGGGTCAAGAAGTGGGGCGGGGGTGGGGGGGGCTCACAAACCTCCCTGTCCATCCAGGCCTGGAGTTGTAGGGGCTGAGCTGACAGAAGGAAGTGCCGGACAGTCTGGGCACAGGGGCCAGGGCCTGGTTCCAGGGGTGCAAACTGTACTTTCCGAACCACCAGCCGCACAGAGTCTCTGAGGAGAGGCCAAGAGGTCAGCCAGAACATCTCTGGGACTCACAGACCTCTGTGCCAACCCCATGGCCCAGTCCTGGCTTGGGGTTGGGTTGGGTGGAGGTGGGGTGAAGCCTCCCTCAGAGAATTCTTATAGACCCTTGGTGTAGGTGTCTAGACCGTGGGTCAGCAAAGTATGGCTCACTGGCCAAATCCGGCCTGCTGACTGTTTTTGTATGGCCCAAGGCTAAGAATGGTGATTACATTTTTTAAGTGGTTGAAAAAAATCAAAGGATGATAATATTTCATGGCATGTGGAAATCATATAAAATTCAAATTTTAGCGTCTATAAATAAAGTATCGGAAGACAGCCCAGCTCATTCATTTACATACTATCTACGGCTGCCTTTCACACTCCAAAGGCAGAGTTGAGGAGTTGCAACAAAAAACTATAGGGCTCACAAAACCTAAATATTTATTTTTTGGCCCTTTACAGAGAAGTCGGCTGACTGCCCTGGAGCAAAGAAGAGAAGTCAGCGAGGGAGCAGAGCTGCACATCTGAGTTGGTGGCAATGGGCTGTTTCTGTCCTGAGATCAAGATCTGTTTCCTGGCACAGGCTGGAGGCAGGGACTCTGGAGAGGACCAAAGACTACCTCTTGGAGATTTTCTCCTCCAGGTTTTCAGCACAGAAGCTCTTCACTTCAAAGTCAATCCCACAGGCCTGCAAAGGGGCAGGGGCCAAGAGAATGCATTTCCAACACTGCCTATCCTTCCCTCTTGAGTCTATAAGGAAATGCCTGACCCCATCCCTTAGCTGTCCATTTCTCCAGTCTTGTTCATTTGTCCCTCTGTCCTTCCTGCTAGCACTGACTATTTATACCTCTTTTTCAGAACCCAGAACTCACCTTTCCCGCATCTTCGGGACCTGGCTGCAGTGTCACTGAACAGGGCAGGTTAACAACCATCTAGGGGATCAGAAGAAGGTCAGCAAACAGAAGAAATAGGGACCCCCCCTTTCCTTTGTTTTCCTTCTTTAGCTTCCTCGCTTAACATTCCCCGGAAACCTTGCCCAGGACATGGGGGCCAGTACCTGCAGTGTAAAGGGGTAGGCATTGTCCCCCAACTTTTGCAGCAGTCGCTCCTGTAGGACTGTGAGGGGCCCCTGGGGGCTGGTGGGCTCAGGTGGGAACACTTGCTGCACCTGTACATACAGATCTTTGCGGAACGTCAGACCAATCACGTCCAAATCGTCATGGCCATAGCGAAAGGCACATGTCAACATGACAAACACTGCAGGCAAAGGAGGAAAAGAGAGTGACCTGTCATGCTTGAGGGAGAAGGAAGTTCTTAAATGGCTCATAGGAAGACATGGGGAAATAATGTAATATGATTGAAACCATATGGCCATGAAGAAAAGGATGAATACATTTGACTACAGTAAATTTTCAAACTTCTTTACATTAAGGGTCTTTATAAACACTGAAACAAGTAAGAGCCTGGGAGAAAAATATCTGCAATATATATAACAGACAAAAGTTGAGCATTCCTAACCTGAAGCTAACGTAACACTGTAGGTCACCTATACTTCAATAAAAAAGCTTAACATTTGTGATACATAAAGAACTCCCACAAACCAATAATATAAAAAGTCCCAATATAATAGTGTGCAAAGAATATGAATAGGCTCTTCAGAGAAGCACAAAATAGAATAGCCAATAAAACAGGAAAACATGTCCAGTCTCATCAGTAACCAGATAAATGTAAACTAAAACCACAATAAGATAACATTTCACACACATCAGACCATGAAAAAATCTTTAAGTCTGCCAGTACAAAGTGTTGGTGAACAAGTGGAGCAACAGGAGGTCATTGCACACTGCTGGTGTGAGGATACATTAGTACAACCACTTTGGAAAACTGTTTGGCACTATCCAGTAAAACTCAATCTGCTTGTATGTTATGACCTGAGAAGAATTTAGAGGAACTCTTGCTCATGTTTATGAGGAGATACATATGAGAATGTATTTGCACCAATATTTGCCATAGTGTAAAATTGGAAATAATTTTAATATCTATCAATCAATCAGTGAAAGAATGGGCAATACAGTTATAGTATGCTCCTATAATAGAAAGCTAAGCTGAGCTTCAAATAAGTGAGTCAGCGCTCCATGTATTAACATGATTAAGTCTCAAAAACTATTGAGTAAAAAAAAAAAAAAAAAAAAGGCTAGCTTCAGAATGATCTGCATAATCTGATACTGTGTATATAAAGTTTAAGAGCATGTAGAGCAATGGAGCAATACCAGAATTGCTACAGATACATAAACATAGGTAGAAATATAGAAACATCAGAGGAATAATAAACACCAAATTTGGGATAGTGGTTCCCAGGGGTGGAGACCAGGAGAGAGGGAGGAGAGGAGGAAGAGGAATGGGATTAAGGAAGGACACGTGGGAGACCAGTTTGTTTCTGTGGTTCTTTTTTAAAACTAGGTGGTGGGTACAGGGTATTTATTACATAATAATCGAGGGTCAGACTGTCTGGGCTTGAATATGCCTTGTACAAATCCCTCAAGTTCTCTGAGCCTCGGTTATTTCACCTGTCAATAACAGGATTGCACTACGAGCTCTCCAAATGTCATTTAGACTTCACAACAACCCTCTGAGGTATTATTATCTCTGCTTTACAGGTAGAGACAATGAGCTCCGGGCCCTTAAGTGACAGCCCAGGATTTCAACCCCGGCCTCGTGACTCCAAAGCCCACACTTGTGCATGCCCAACCTAACTCATGGGAGTTAATGTGAGGAGTTGACGTATAAGAAATCCCTTTGGAAATTGTAATTATAGGTGCGAATGGAGAGGATGATCATGGGAATGTTGGCAAAAATTGAACAGTTACAAGTGAACTCATGCTTTTCAGCTAGTGCCTAAGATTAGAGGCAAATAGAATAGTTCATGCTTCAGTGAACTAGTGGAATGTGGGATGGGGTACAGAAGGCTACCTGTCCAAGGACAGAGTGACAGAGACTGAGGGAAGGAAAGAAAGAGGTAGAACAGGGGTGGGGAATCGTCTTCTATCAGGAGCCCTGACTGAAAGGAAAGAGAACTACCGGTAGCCACACGCTAGTAGAAAGCAACCTATTTCAGTATTTTTAAAAGATCTGAATATCTACCGAACAGCCAGATTATCTGCTTCTAAAATTAAGCATAAAGAAAAGGAATCTATATTCAAAAGATACAATGAAGACTGAGAGTAATAATGGCAGTGTTTATAAGGACTGGGGCAATGGGCAGCCTCATATACTGCAGGAGGGAGAGTCCACTGATACAACCATTCTGGAGGGCAGTTTGGCAATAGAAAGCTTTAAAAGTGTCTGAATGCCCTTCGGCCATTTTGTTCTTCTCTAGGCATTTAGTCTAAAATGATTGGACCATATATATTGGACCAAAGACATATGTATGTTTGTGAATACACACACACACGCGCGCACACACACGAGTTTGTATTTTACAGGGTTGTAAAAACTGTCCAATGACTGAAGGTTGGCTACATATATTATGGTAACCCCCGTGCAGTATACTGATATGCACTATATTGACATAGGTGAAAAAGAAGATTAGAAAATATTCTTTATAATATAGTCTATTACATAAAAATATAGCTCTTTTTGCATGGAAACTATGAATAAATAGGAGCTAAAATATTATTAGTGATTATCTTTGAGTGACAGGATTGCAATCTCTTTCTCCTTCATTTGTGCTTCCTAATTTTTCTACAATGGAGACACATTTAACAATTTTCAAAAGATATGACAAATTCCCCCTTGGTTGTCAATTGCAGCCAATTAAAGAGGGAGAGAAAGTGGGGTGTCTGAGTGGCTCAGTCAGTTAACCGTCCAACTTCAGCTCAGGTCATGACCTTGCGATTCGTGGGTTTAAGGCCTGCGTGGGGCTCTGTGTTGACAGCTCGGAGCCTGGAGCCTGCTTCAGATTGTGTCTCCCTCTCTCTCTCTCTGCTCCTCCCCCATGTTCGCTCTCTCTCCCAAAAATAAACATGAAAAAGTTTTTAAAAAGAGGGAGAGAAAGAAAAGGAAAAGGAAAGAAAGGAAAAAAAAAAGAAAGGAAAAGACAGAGAAGATGAGGAGAGGGGAAAGTGGAGGCTGGAAGGAAGCATGGGGAGGGAGGAAATAAAGGGGTGAGGAATAAGACAGAAAAAGATCAGGAGGGGTGAGGCAGAAGGGTACGTAGGTAGTAGCCTCGCCCCTGAGGTGAGGGTGGTAAGCAGATGAATTGCTATTGGCACATCCACCTGTTTGCAAGTGGGGAGGGCATCACCCCCCACCCTTCCTGGTTCAACAGTTTAGGATCATCCGCTTTTGGTGCTACAAAAGAGCTTGTTTTCATTTTTTAAAATTCAACATATTTTCTAAAGTTAATTATATTTGGGTTTGTTATACAAATAATACATATTAATTGTGTGAAAATCAGAAAACACAAACAAAAAATCAAAGCTCTGCCATCATGCGTTATATTCCAGAGATAACTGCTGTTAATATCTCTTGCACTTGTGGGGTGCCTGATGTCAGTAGAGTGTTCGACTTCTACTCAGGTCATGATCTCATGGTTAGTGGGTTCAAGCCCCACGTCAGACTCTGTGCTGACAGCTCGGACCCTGGAGCCTGCTTTGGATTCTGTGTCTCCTTCTCTCTCTGCCCCTCCCCTGCTTGCACTCTGTCTCTGTCTCTCTCTCTTTCAAAAATAGAAAAAAAATTTTTTTTTAATCTATTGCACTTGCTTCCCAATTTGTTTCTATAATTAAACATAGGGTACCTTAGATATCTATGACTTCTTCCTTGTTGCCTTTTTGAAATAGAACTTTCTATTTGAGATCATTGTAGATTCACATGCAGTTGTAAGAAATAATACAGAGAGATCCCAGAAAGATTTTTGTTAAACAACACATCTTTGACACAAGTGCATATCCTGCCTTACCACTGACCTTTATCACTCGATAGTATGGTATAAGCATCAATACGATACAATAGTATAGTATATACATCAACAAATGGAACTTGATAGAAAAAAACGTTAGAAAATATGATGCAAATATAGGGCACCTGGGTGGCTCAGTTGGTTAAACATCCGACTCTTGATATCGGCTCAGGGGATGATCTCAGGGTCTCGTCGGTTTGAGCCCCACAGAGCCTGTGCTGACCTTACAGAGCCTGCTTGGGATTCTCTCTCTATATATCTTTCTCACTGCCCCTCCCCAGCTCGTGCTCTGTCTCTCTCTAAATGAATAAATAAACTTAAAAAATCATTTAAAAAATATGATGCCAATAAAATTATCTTCATAAAAGTAATGAAACATATAAAATAGCCAAGGAGCAAACTTAAGAAATATACACAACTTGGGGCGCCTGGGTGGCTCAGTCAGTTGGGCTTCCGACTTTGGTTCAGGTCCCGTTCTCACAGTTTGTGAGTTCGAGCCCTGTGTCAGACTCTGCACTGACAGCTGAGAGCTTGGAGCCGGCTTCGGATTTTGTCTCTCTCTCTCTCTCTGTCTCTGCTCCTCACCCGCTTGTGCTCTCTCTCTCAGAAATGAATAAATGGTAAAAAAAAAAAAAACCTAAATAAAAACAAGAAATATACACAACTTAAATGAATAATAATATAAAACTCTACTAAGGGACATAAAAATGATGCAATCAAAAGGAAAAAAACATCTTATTTCTGGATCAACATGTATTTTTTAAACTAAATATTTCTTCCTGTAGGTTATTCTGAAGATGTGCTAGGAATGTGAAAAATGATTTCGGTTTTAGAAATACAGAGTAATTGAGAGTCTTAAACAAGTTGGTTGATTTACTGGCTATTCCCCAGAATTCCTCTGATATTTAAAATTGGCTAGACTGCTTATCCACACTGTTTGTTTGTTTGTTTGTTTGTTTATTATGTTTATTTAATTTTGAGGGAGCGAGCCAGTGGGGGAGGCGTAGAGAGAGACCAAGAATCCTTTGCAGGCTCTGTCCACACTGTCAGCGCAGAGCCCAATGTGGGGGTTCACACTCACAAACCCTGAGATCATGACCTGAGCTGAAATCAAGAATCAGATGCTTAACTGACTAAGCCACCCAGTTGCCCCTATCTCACAATATTTTAAAGGTTATGTTTGAATTAGTATTCATCAATTTGTTCTGAGCCATTTTCAAGTCAAACCCAGTTTTCAATCTAATTGGATCAAAGAGAAAAAATTATTTTAAAAAGAAGTGAAAAAATATTTCAATGTAATCTTGATCTATAGTACTGTGGCCATAGTAATGTCTCTTGTTGTTACTTGCTAGAGTTATTGTTTTCTCTGTTTCCTAGGTTTGTCTTTTTTTTTTTTTTTTTATACGGAAAGGGTAGGGGCTTCCCTCCACAGAAGGAGAGGTGGAAAGATAATACCAGAGGTTCCAAACTGGCAGTATGAGGGTCATATCCAGCCTAACAAAAAATAACATTTTTTGATCTATCCAGGTCTTTAAAAATCTTTTAGTTAGCTGCCACCATTTGAAAATCAGGAAATTTGCATAAAGATATGGATTTCTGGAATGCTGGATCTTTCCGTAGCCAGTCTAAGCCCATGTTCAGTTTAGCAATGAAGCAGTAGTACCACCGACAATAATAGAGACAATCAGAAGTTTTAGAAAGAAACTATTTTAAGTCTAGCACACATGTCAATTCTGCGTAATTTTGAAAAATAAGATTTTATCTCTGTCTTAGAAATATATCTATTTTGAATATTATTTGGGGAAGAGGTACCATCATCTTTTCAGGATTTGGGTCTCTGAAGGTCTTATTCTGAGCTTCGTTTCCAGTTCTTTTCCAACAATCAGAAAATTTGGCCACACTGGGCTAAAATTCCCAGTTGTTAGTCCCCACCAGACAAGGAAACCACAGTTCCAACCACTTTTTTGTTTTCTTATACTCCTCTAGTCCACTCGCCCAGTCTACTCACTTAGGTTACTTGTCTGGTGTGTGTGGCATTTCATTTAGGGGTCCCTGGCACATGCAAAGGCCAACAGAATTTTTACTTACTCTTTCGACCTTTTAAGTAATCAGGGTCAACCAGGACTACACCATCTGTGTAGAGAAGGAGAGATGGCACCCTCATCAGGAAAAATCCTTAGACTATGAAACAGAATCCATCTCTGAAATAGTTCCTCCCACTTTTCCCTTTAATTGCCCTCATCTTCTGCATGTCCCTTTTTTTTGTCTTTCTTTTAGTCCCTAGATCCCATTCCCTTCTCCCAGGATCTTTCCCTTTTTGGACTCACTGACCAATGGGATCCACCATGTCCACATGGTCCACAAAGTTTCGTCTCCCCAGGTAGATGGCAAGCTGTTGTGGAACAACCTTGCATGTTATTCTCGTAGTCCTCATTTTTGTTCATTTGTTTGTTTTATTTTTTATTTCTTTATTTTTTACAGTTTATTGTCAAATTAGTTTCCACATAACACCCAGTGCTCATCCCCATAAGTGCCCTCCTCCATGCCCATCCCCCCCTCCCCCCCACATCCATCAGTCCTCAGTTTTTGTCAGCATTCAAGAGTCTCTTGTGGTTTGCCTCCCACTCACTCCCCAATTATTTTTCCCCTTCTTCTCCCCCACGGTCCTCAGTTAAGTTCCTCCTAATCCTCCTATACGTGCATGTTTGTTTTATTTTTGAGAGAGAGAATGCAAGACAGGCAGGGGTAGAGAGGGGGGGGGACAGAGGATTTGAAGTGGGTTCTGTGCTGACAACAGTGAGTCCGATGTGGAGCCCAAACTCACAAACCGTGAGATCGTGACCTGAGCCAAAGTCAGACGCTCAACAGACTGAGCCACCCAGGCGCCCCCTCCCCCCAATAATCATCTTTGAGTGGATTTTCCTGAAGCCCCCAACCCAAACCCCTGAGACCTTGAAGGATGTACCCAACTATCCCTTTTGCCCTCTCATTTGCCCAGCTAGGCCAAGTTCTCTCACCTTCCCATTGGAGGAGGTCTTCTTATACACCCTATAAAGAGAAAATCAAGAAAAAAAATAGAGGTTCATTGGGGGAGAAGGGAAGAGAATAAGGGAGAGGAAAGAAAGGGAAGTGGGGGAGAAAAAGGGGGAGAAAAAATCCTAATTCCTAGGATTAGAAGAGGCCCAAGGAACATGAAACGGTTCAAAGGTGGAGGTAATTGGAGTAGAGTTCAAGCTACAGGTTGGGGAAAAGTTGGAGACTCCACTACCCCAAAGGCAAGTACTTGGATTTGGGTAGGGGCAAGTCACAGAATCAGAGAATTAGAAAGAATTCTTACTTACCTTGACATGTTGGCCATGGAGTTGATGTTGTGCCTTTTCTGAGAAGAAGGAAAGAAGAGGAAGACTCGTTCATGGGGTCCCTATTCTCCTTGCCCCACTCTGGGATACCATCTAGGCACACCTAGTGTGGTGTAACCATTCCTCCTTAAATACATGCCTCACCAGTATCAAATGACTTATATTCTCCCTCCTGCCAAGACTATTTATTCAGCATACTCTCACCCATCCCAGACACGGGGGAGAAAAACCCAGTTTTACAAATTGTTGTCTAACCATATTGCCTATTCTCCACAAAGGGCATGGCTGCCTGGAATAGCTGGAGCACTCTTGAGCACCCTACTTGAGAAGGAACTTGTCTGGATGAAGGCTCAAGAGAAGTCTCCATCTAGCCAAGTATGAGGAAAATTGGACCGGATGAGGCTGGATATCACCTAACACCAACAGTAGGTGTCCAGACATGTTTGTTAGATACATGAATGAATGGATGAATGAATGAATGCCGAAAGCATGGATTCTGTCTGCTTTTGCTCCTGCAGTGGATTCTGAGCCTGAGTTCACCTCATGGTGGCCTTAATTCTCAGGTAAGAGAGGAGAAAGTTGTGGGAGAGAAGGGGTTGGTGCCCTCATGCTCTTGGTTGTTGGTAGCAGAAAGTTCTATCGAGGTTGAAAGCCTTCCTTGAATCTGTTCATCACTCTCTTCACCTTCCCCCAATTTTCCCAGTCTTATCCCCATCCCCATCCCCAGGTGCTAGACCTTGGAGTAAGGACCCTTAGAGAGAGGGAGATGTCTGTCTAGTGCTTCTCTTTGATGCACATTAGGTCTGGCCTGAGGGGTGAACTTAGGGGAGACTCTAGAGGTCTCTCACAGGGTTTTTCGGCCCAAGTGCCTGCTGGTTGTGTCAAGAAAGGTGTTCTTCAAGTGCTCCTTGATATATTGATGGGGATGCTAAAGGCAAGGGATATGGGACCTAGTACAGGCTAGAAGTAGAGGACTTTGGACTGTTACCTTGGGAGAGAGATGAAGTTCACATCCGTCTCCAGGTCTGGTTGCTATGCTCGCCTCCCCAGCCTCTTATACTTAAGGTCCTTTGAGTGTTTAGATTGGTGGGGGTCAGCGAAGAAGAATAGAGTTCTGGGGAGGGCTTTATAAATAGCTCAGGTGGCAATCATTTGGAAAGCAGATTAAAGACTAAAAGATTAGTGTCTAAAGATTAGTAAGTTCTTGCTGCTGGGACAGGGTGGGGGTTGGTGTTGAGTCTGATGGTATTAAAGTCAAGGGAGCTTGAGAAGAGCTACAGGGTTTTGGCCTTATGAGGCCTTGAACCTGAGGACTGGGATCAAAGGGGAGTCAGAGACATTAAAGGAAAAGCCTTGTGAGGGATAGAAATAGTAGGACTCAAAGTACAGGCCTTTGTGATTCTGAAAGGAGAGTCTTGTGTCACACTCTAGTGTTTCTGTATCTCTTGATCAGCTATTACAGGCCACACAAAAGCCAAGAGTATGGGAAAGAGTGCCTCCTTGCCAGGCCCACACCACGTGGGATGTGGGACTCTTGAATCCTACTGTTTAGAAGCCTCGATTATCCCAGCTTATGTGCACAGCAGGAGTCAATCTCCTGTAAGTGGGGGTGGTGATTGGGGAGGGGAGTTTGAGTGTATTGAGCTGTGTGTGCACATGTCTTGTGAGCCTTGAACTTTTCTTGTTGGAGAGGAAGATATCAAAGGATTCTAGGCCCAGGAGCAGGTGATCCTGAAAGGTTGTTGTATGTGGAGGGAATAGGCAACTGACATTTGTATCACCCCCGCCTAGAGTAAACCTTCCCCCTCAGTTTCCGATTCTCCCCAGTCCAACTAAGTCCATGTTATAGTCTCTAAGCAGCTTCACTTGCCTCATATGACCACTCATGGAATTAGAGATATTTCTGTCCTACAGCTGCCAGGACTCCCACAGTGGCAGCAGCAATAGTAGTCTTCCTTTTTTGGCTGTCCTTCTCATAGGGGCCAGGTCCAGGCTTTGTGGACCTAGCGAATATAGAGACAGAACCTCCAAACTCTGGGGATACAGAACCCTAGCCTGCCTCCACCTCCCCATAGAGCTGGCTGACCGTCAGTATCTATCCATAGATGCCAGACCCTCAACCCTCATTCCTCAAGGGATGGCTTTGGCCATCTGTGGTTCAGAGGGCTGAGCCTTCCCTACCTCCAGCTCCTTACTGTGGCTGCTGGACAGCTGATACCGGTCCTATATTCTTTTTGTATAACTAACTGTGTTAGCCTTTGCCATTTCTTGCCAGTATATGACCCAGGGGCTTGTATTTTAGTCGATGTTACTCTGCCCTTCTCAAGGATTTTCAGATAGAGGAAGACTCTTCAGGGACCATAGTGGCACGGAAACTAATGCTGGACATACAGGAAAGAGTTATGTACTTGCCAAGGTTGGTGTCTGTGGAGAAGGCAAAACTTCAGAACGAATGCACTTTTGGACTAGCCTTCAGCTCTTTTTTTGTCTTTAGACCCACACTTGAAGCATCTCCCCTCTTTCAGCTCAGATCCATGGTCCTCTCAGCAGGAAGAAAATAGATCTGATAGGTCTTTAATTCATTACTATGATTGAACTTAAATCATTATCTCTTTTCTAGGAACATGTGCATTTCTTGACTGAGGTATAATTTACAAACAGCAAATTAATCGCACCACTTGAGGTATTTGTATTTACTGTGGTGGGCTGAATTATGGACCCCAAAGATATAGAGTCCTAATCCCTGGAACCTATGAATGTTACCTTATGTGGCAAAAAGGACTTTGCAGGTATGATTAAATTAAGGGCCTTGAGACGGGGAGTTTGCTCTGTATCATCTGGGTGGGCCCTAAATTTAACCACTAGTCTCTTTAAAGAGGGAAAACTCTGTTCCCCTCTACAGCTTCTCTGTAGCTAGAAGGAGATTGGGCTACAGAAACAAGGCAATATGAGAACTGAAGCAAGATGCTATGTTACTAGCTTTGAAAATGGAGGAAGGAGCCACAGTCAAGGAATGCAGCTTTCAAAGCCAGAAAGGACAAGGGCATGGATTCAAACTCATAGCCTCTTATGCTGTTGCAGTTCAGGTGTAGCCTGGCTGGCAACTTGATTTTGGCCCAATGAAACTGATTTTGGACTTCTTGCCTCCAGAACTGTAAGAGAATAAGTGCTTTTTTAAGCCACCAAGTCTATGGTAAATTGTTCTACAGTATCAATAGGAAACTAATCCACCTGTGTGTAGTGTACATGCATATAACCATTACCTGGATCAAGATAAAAAACATTTCCATCTGCTCCCAAAATTCCCTTGTGTCCCTTTCCAGTTTGTAGTCCCCAAAAGAATTATCACCAGTTTCATTTTGATCAAACATATTATCATTTTCTTGTAGGATTTATTCCTGGGCTTCCAAGGTGGCTCAATATTTGCAAATCAATCAGCATGATATGCCACATTAAGAAAAGAAAGAATCATATGATCCTTTCAATAGATTCAGAAAAAGCATTTGACAAAGTACAATAGCCATTCATGATAAAACATATCCCTCAATAAAGTACAGTTAGAGGAAAACATATCTCAATATAATAAAGACCATATATGAAAAGCTCACAGCTAATATCATCCTCCAAGGGGGAAAAACTGAGAACTTGTCCTCTATGTTAGGAAAAAGACAGGAATGTACATTCTCCCCACTGTTATTTAACGTAGTACTGGAATTTCTAGCCACAACCATCAGAAACACAAGGAAATACAAAGCATCCAAATTGGCAAGGAAGAAGTAAAACTTCCACTGTGTGCAGATGACAGGATACTCCATATAGAAAAGCCAAAGTTTCCACCAAAAAACCTGCTAGAACTGATAAATGAATTAAGTAAAATTTCAGGATACAAAATCAATATACAATAGAAATCTGTTGTATTTCTATACACTAATAATGAAGCAGCAGAAAGAGAAGTCAAGGAATAAATCCCACTTACAATTGCACCAAAACCCATAAGATACCTGGGAATAAATCTAACCGAAGAGGTAGAAGACCTGTCCTCTGAAAACTATAAAACACTGATGAAAGAAATTGATGACACAAAGAAATGGAAAAACATCCCATGCTCATGGATCGGAAGAACAAATGTTGCTAAATTGTCTATATTACCCAAAGCAATCTACACGTTTAATGCAATCCCTATCAAAATACCACCGGCATATTTCACAGAGCTAGAACAGAACAATCCGAAAATTTGTATGGAACCACAAAAGACCCTGAATAGCCAAAGCAATCTTGAAAAAGAAAAGCGAAGGTGGAGGCATCACAATTTCAGGCTTCAAGTTATAGTTCAAAGCCATAGTAATCAAAACAGTATGGTACTGGCATAAAAACAGATACATGGATCAATGGAACAGAATAGAAAACCCAGAAATGAACCCACATTAATGGTCAATTAATCTTCAACAAAGCAGGAAAGAATATCCAATGGGAAAAAGATAGTCTTCAACAAATGGTGTTGGGAAATCTGGACAGCAACGTGCAAAAGAATGAAACTGGACTACTTCTTACACAATACACACAAAAAACCTCAAAAAGGGATGAAAGACTTAAATGTGAGGCAGGAAACTATTAAAATCCTAGAGGAGAACACCTGTTCTGTTTGACAGAAGTAACTGTCAAACCTGTTTGACACTGGCGATAGCACCTTCTTACTAGATACGTCTCCTGAGGCAAGGGAAACAAAAGCAAACATGAATTATTGTGACTTCATCAAGGTAAAAGCTTCCATACAGTGAAGGAAACAATCAACAAAACTAAAAGGCAACCTGCTAAATGGGAGAAGATATTTGCAAATGATATACCTGATAAGAGCTAGTATCCAAAATCTATAAAGATCTTATAAAACTCAACACCCAAAAACCAGATAATCCAGTTAAAAAACGGGCAGAAGATATGAATAGACATTTTTCCAAAGAAAACATATAAATGGCCAACAGACACGTAAGATACTCAACAT